CCCTGGGAAAGTCACCATTGTCTCACAAAAAAAAAAGGGTATAACAAATCTAAACTGTTACTTTCAAAACTGTCCTTTTTGTTCTTTCTATACTCAATTTGCACACTCTTAAAATTGTATCAATGACTAACATTTTTCTTTTTTTTTGGTATCATCATTGATAACCTCTACCCCAATTAAAGACAGAAAGAAGAAAAATTCCTTGTAACAAAATAAACATAGTCAAGCAAAACAAATTCACACAGTAGCCATATCCAAACATATGTATTTCTCTGCCACCCTGTATAAAATGAAATACATAGGGTTACAAAAGAAACCAATTATATTGAAATACATTTTTTATCAAAATATAACATGCTTCATCTTAGGTAGGTCCTCTGAGGACACAGCTTTCTTTGATTATCATACTTAAGCCAATTTTTTTTAAATTTAGGATGCATTTATTAAGTACTTTCTATATAAAAGTAGATAAATGAAGGGTACAGTCCCTATTCTGTATTGGGGCATCCACCCCCAGCTGCCTAGAGCTGTTACAATGATATTCTCCACTTTTGTGACTATACAATCTAACTCATCACCCAGTGTAGAATGATCTCTACTGGGGTGGGGAGCTTGTGGTCACGAGGCCCTCCAGGTCCTCAAGTTGGGGGAGGTGGGGCCAATACCTAATCCAAACCTCACGGAACAGATCCCCTTAATCAAAGGATCTGTTCTGTAAAACCCAGATCTAGTCAAAAGGCCTCCCCTAAGGACCCAGAAGCCCAAACGTAGCCTTGAAGGCCGAATGCTCCCCAACCCTGCCAGACCATCACTGATACTTGCGCGTCTAGCCTTTATTTGAATGCCTTGGTGATGAAGAGCTCACCGCCTAAGAAGGTGATTCCATTTGGATGCATGTCTGAATGTTTGAAATTCCTAATCACTACATGGAGTCTTTGCTACCAGATCATATAAACATGAAAACCTGTGACATTGTTTTTCTTTGTAATTAGCCTCTTACAAATGTTGCATGCCCTACACACACACACACACACACACACACACACACACAGCCTGACCTAAACTTAAACCACAAAAGTGCCTGTCAGATTTGTTTTTCTTTACTATATTATCATCATATAAATTGCTCTAATTCTGTTTACATTATTCTGTGTCCTTATTTCTCAGGATTCTCCGAAATTACCTCTTTTCCCATCTCTTATGGTGCAATAACATTCCATTATATTCATATAGCACTATTTATTGAGCTCCTCCTCACTTGATGGACATGCCAAGTGTTAAGAACCTGAACCTGGAATGTCTGGCTCTGGGGGTTGCCATGATCAGACTGGTTTAGGCTCTAGATCACCCGAGGATTTTCTCAGCTCTCCCAGTCTATGGATACGGAGCAAGCTTTTGGGCTACATGTGCCTCTTGTAGTCTCTGGTCACTTTAGGAAGTTTATAATTTGTTTAAGTGAGGGCACTGGCTTTTCTGGTGGACCCATTCCCTTTTACCCAGAGGCTTCTGGTTGAATTCTTAGGCAGTCCTAGGGTAGATGGAGTTACCTCCTATAGTTTCTCATTTTTTAAAAAAAGTCATTTTTCAGTCTAGTGTGATTTTCTTTGGTTTTTGATAAACTAGGTGGGTGGGGAGAGAACTGAGTTGCCTGCCTGAGATCAAATGAGTTAATATTATCAAGTGCTCAACACAGTGCCTGGAGCATAGTAGACACTTAATAGCTGCTTATTTGCTACCCCTCTACCACCGTATTGAGAGGTAGTCCAAATTTATATTTCTCCCCCAAATGCATGATTCCCTGAAACTTTATGATGCTGTGCTTAGCCTTCTGGTTGGTCACAAAGGTTCTTTGGTCGTCCTTGACTCTCTCCCTCAACCCCTCTATCCTATTAGTTGCTAAGGTTTGTTGCTCTCATCTCTACAACTTTCCAATTCACCCTTTTCAGTATTCACACAGCCTCTGCCCCTGTTCAGGACCACATGACCTTATGCCTAGACTGTTACAAAAACCTTGTAATTGGTCTCCTTGCTTCTAGTCTTCTCTCCCTCATCAATCCAACCTCTATATAATTGTCCAATTGATATTCCTAAAGCCTAGATCTGACTGACACCCCTTCCTCTTGTCTTTGATGGCTCTCTATAAATAATTTTTTTGGATAAAATACAAAATTTTCAGCCTGAGATTTAAAGTCCTCCAGAATCTGGCTCCCACCTAATTGTCTTATTTTATATTACTCGCCTTCACAAAATCTCTGTACTAGTCAAATGTACTAGCTTCCCTCCTCCACTATCCCCTTATACAGTGTGACATGATACTTCTTGCTTTTACACAAGAGGTCCTCTATACTGCCTCTTAGAAACTTTATCATCCACAGCTTAGCTGCTCCCTCCCACACAGTGCCTTTACCTGATTCTTTCTCCTCAGCCAGTATTCTCCTTGAAATTGCTTTGCATGTACTTGTGTACATACTATCTACCCCCAGTAGAATATAAGTTCCTCAAGAGCAGGTATTATTTCATTTTTGTCTTGCCATCCACAGTGACTGGCACATAGCTGGTACCTAAGAAATGTTTGTTGAATTGAGGACTCTTTCTATTCATTGGGCTTTCCACCTCACAAAATTCTCCCAGTTGAACCTTACCTGGTTTTAGTCACCAGAATTCCACTCCCATCTCATTTTCCCCAAATTCCCAGTTATGGCATCTAAAGCACTTTCCTCAGAACAAGGTAGGTTAGTGCCAGTATTTTGCAGATGAGGAAACTGAGGCCCAGAGAGATGAAGTGGCTTGTCCATAATTACATAGCTACTAAGTGGTAGAACCAGGATTTGATTCCAAGTTATGATTCCATGGTTAATTGTTCTAATTCCATGTTCAAAGGCCCTAATTACTTGGCACTTATGTCTCTGTCTAGCTCTGTGCTTTGCTTCTATTTTCTATGTTTACTTACATAGGTCTAAGTGTTTTGTCTTATCCATTCAACTAGAAATTCACCAAGGGTAAGGATTGTTCCCTCCTACCTCTAGCTTTCCCATTCTGCTTGTACAAGATTCTTTGCAAAAGCAATATGGATACTGTGTATGCACTGATATACTTCTGCCCTGCCCACCTCCTAGACCAAGCAGCAGGCTTGAGGGTAAAGACGACATGCCTGACATATGTTTCCTAGGGTTTGTTTGTCTCTGTCCAGCTAAATCCTTTCAGCTATCAGAAAAAATGTTTGTAAACTTAACAAAGGAGGAAGATAGATTTTATTTTTATTTCTCAGGTTAGGTTAAAAGGATTTACAACAGAAAGGGATCTTATCAATCCAGGGGTTCTTAACCTTCCTTGTTGACCCCTTGTGACAATACAATGAAGCCTATGGACCCCTTCTCAGAATAATGTTTTTTAATGTATAAAATAAAGTACATAGTGTTACAAAGGAAACCAACTATATTGAAACAGTTATCAAAATATAAACAAACAAAAAAACCCAAATCTACAGACTCCAAGTTAAGAACTGATATAGTTGAACCCTTTCACTTTACACAGGAGGAAATAGAGCCAGAGAAGGCATGTGAATTATCCAACAACACATTGGTAAAAAGCAGCAGAACCAGGATTTGAATCCAGTTCTCTGATTTCACATCTAGTGTACTTTCCAACTTTGCCAGACCTTATTGCATATCTAATATATTATAAAATAGGTCAAGCATAACCTAATGCAAAGTCTATTCTAATCATTTCCTGGTTCTATGACAGATAAAAAATTCCTTAACAGGTCAAGTTCCTTTTTAGTGAGGCCTCCACACTCCTGGTAATATGATTTCTATAGAAAAGGTGAGGCAAACTTCCAGGTTACTAGAACAAGACTCAGTCTTGCTTCCACCTGGTCCAATAAAAAAAAAAGGCTTTAGGTAAAGATTACCTCAAATACCTTGTGGCAAACTCCCTAAAGGCAAATAAATGATGGGTTGAATATCAGCATATCCTCATTCAGTCAGAATCTCATCAGTCAAAATCTTAACTAGTTGTTCAAATCATCTCCAGAAAAGTAAGTATAGAAAGACCCTCTCTTCTAGGGATCTTGAACTTATCTAACTTATCTATACAGCTGCTCTGTCACCTCATCTTCTGCTGTCCCCTACACCTAGATAAGTTTCTTCTCTGTCCCATTCTAACAGTTTCCCTACCTTTTCCTCCACAAAGACCTCCTTACGCTCTAGGTATATGCTTTCCCATCCATTGTTCCACACACAGAAGGGGAACACTGCGGACTCTCTCTAGATAAATCTTCATGGATCAACACGGAAGAGCTAAGTCCTGCTTTTCTTTCTAGGCTGAAAAACCTGGTTGGCAGAGTCTTCATCTTCTACTATATTGATGAGACCTCATAATAAAAATGTTGCATTTGGAGGATACTTTAGGTTTGCAAAGCATTTTCCTCATAATCTCCCAGTGAAGTAGGAAGACCTCCCTTACAGGCCATCTCTTAGAGAAGAAAAAAACAGGAACTTAATGGTCCCTACAATCTACAGAGCCACCAGACAGCCACTTAGCACTTGAGGCTAAGTACCCTGAATATGTAGAACCTCATCCTGGGCAACAAGAGAGGAAAAAGGGGGATCCTTGCTCAGTGAGCAAGTCTGATGGGAAAACTTGATACAGAGGCAAGATATATAGGAGACACACAAAAAAGTAATAATATCTAGAACTCCTGGCTGTTCCAAGAACAAGACACTCCATCTCTCAGCTGCCAGAATTTTTTCTGGCTGTTCCCCATGCCGAGAACACTCTCCTTCCTCCATTCTGATTACTGATCACCCTGGATTCCTTTAAGCCCCAACTAAAATCCCTTCTTTTACTGGAAGCCTTCCCTAACCCTTCTTAATTCTAGTGCCTTCTCATTAATTACTGCCTATTTATCCTGTGTATATAGCTTGCTTTGCATATATTTGCTTGCATGTGGTCTCCACCATAGATTGTAAGTTCCTTGGGGGCAGTGACTATCTTGCTTACTTTTGTATCCCAAGTGCTTACTTAGCACAGCACCTGGCACATAGTAGGAGCTTAATGTTAACTGAAAGACAGAACTATAAGTGAAAACATAACAATGATTAAATTAGAGTAACCACAGCTAAGAATATTGAATCAGGGGAAGTTTCATGGAGATGGACTGAACTAAGAGAACTGAATTAAAACCCAGGGACTGTCAATCCAACCCTCATTCCTATGGGAATTTCTATAAGACATAATCAGGGTGTCAGAACTCCAGGATTCTCTCCTGGATTTGCTGAGAGGTGGTGGGTTGCTGTCAGGGCCCCAGTTCTCCTGGGAAAATGAGAGCATCATCATCTGCTGCACGAGGGCCTGTGGGTGGCAGAGCCCTGCTGATGAGCTGTTCTTTACGAAGGCCTCCTAGGAAGTAGTTCCTAGGAAACCAGAAAATACAGAACAGACACTTGTCTGGATGCTCTGAGCTCGGAGGGCCTCCTCCGAGCCACTGCGTGGGTTCGTGGCTCGCTGCCCTAAGGTTCCCTCCTCTTCACCACCCTCATCTTCCATCTTTGCAGCTGGAGAGGTGGTGGCCGAAGGCCTGAGATGGACTAGTCTCGGCCAGGCGGCCGGGCAGCCGCCTCAAAAGGTGCCTGGCGCTGGACTTGGGGACTTGCCAACGTTGCGGGGACAGACGGGGACCCCGTCCCCAGCCGGCCACTGCAGACCGCAAGGAACGAGGGACCAAGGAAAAGCGTGGCGAGGTGTGGGGGGCCAGGGACGGGGGCTTATGAAGATTCTCCCCTCCCCTACCCCTGCTTCCATCCCTCTTCCCAGCACTGGGTGAATTTCCCAAAAGAGGCATGAGCTTCTCACTGGGGTTTGGGAGTTCCGGGATCACGTGGTTCTACCAACGAGGAGGAGACAAGGTCGGCCAGCTCAGCCTCGGGCGCCCGGCTGAACGGATTGGCGGGGACTAGCCAATGGGCAGCCTCACGTGGCACCCGACTAGAGGAGGTGGCAGCCACGTGGTAGGAAGAGGAAGCGGTCACGTGGTATGAGGAGGCGTCCATCTTGAAAAAGGGCGAGGAGTGATTTCCGGTCTGAGATGTGCCCAGTCCCTTTTCTTCTCTTTGCTCTGCGATGCAGCCCAGCAAGGTTGGATTACACGCAAATAGACTCGTTTTGTGCCTTGATACCTCGGAGGGAGAGCGTCTTACAGAACAGCCCCACCCCACTGACGCCTCTGCCCACAAGAAAAATGGCCGCTCGCCGCCTTCATTGCCCACCTCTGCAATCGGCAGGGAGGAAGTTACAAGGAGAAAAGAGTCCGGCTGGAAACCTCAGCTGGGCAGGTGCAGCAAGGGAGTAGCCGAAGAGTTAGCTTTGCTCTCTAGCTTAGCGGGGCGGACTCGGGAGCTCGTGGCACGGTGGCTAGCGCCGCTGCTGCCGCCGCCTCCTTCGCCTCCGCAAAGCCCTCAGCCCTCTCGTGGCCCCGGGCGACGCAGCCCGTGGCCAGCCCCAGTTGTCTAGAAAGGTCTCGTAAGTCGGCGGGCTGTGGTCCCCGGGTCCCCCGACCGGGCTCCTAGCGGGGCTCAACCCCGCTAGGGCGCCTTTCATGGCTATGATGCGGCCCTTCCCGGCGCTGCCGCTGCTCATCAACCTGGGCGGCTCGCTGCTGGGCTTCGTGGCCACGCTCACGCTCATCCCGGCCTTCCGCGGCCACTTCATCACGGCTCGCCTCTGCGGCCTGGACCTCAACAAGACCAGCCGCCAGCCCATGTGAGGAGGGGCACGAGCAGGGTGACGGCAGAGGGGAGGGGGCGGGACACGGGGAGTGGGAGGGGTCAGAGGAGGGGGACAGGTGGGGATGGGGAGGAGGGAGTCAGAGATGGGGAGGAAGGTGACACTCGAGGGTGGGGAAAAATGGTGCTGGGGAGGAGGGAGACAGCTAGAGATGGGGCAAAGGGGGACAAATAGGGGTTACTGAGGAAGGGGACAGCTAGGAATGGGGAAGAGGGAAGGGAAGTTCTAGGGACTAAGTGGGGTGTGATTTGAGAAAGGGAGAGAGAGAAGGAAGAAGCCTGAAGAGATTGGGAGCCAAGGAAGGAGGAAAGAAGAACAAGTGACTGTGGAGAAGAGAGAGAAAAAGTTAGGAGCAAAAGTGGAGAAGGGAAGAAGGACTAGCTGAAATGACAGAAGACCTAGGAGAAGGATAAAAGACTGAGCTTTGAAACCAGGGCTGAAGCTAAGAACTTAGGATAATCTTGGGACATGAAGTCCAAGGGAGACAGGAGAAACTTACTTGATAGAAAGAGGGACTAGGGATGAGATAGGAAAGTTGGGAGAGAGGACTGGGCCTTGGGTCTCTGGTCTGGTGAAATGACTGAAAAGTAGGGCTGGGAGCATATATCAGGACATGGGCAGGGGATGCTATTTGTCAGAGAATGAAGATGTGTGGAGAGGATAGGGTGGAATGTTAAGATTGGTACTCTTGGAAATAGAATCTTCTCATACGCTAGCAGTGATATCTTTTCCCTTAGTTGGGACACAGGAGGAGGGGAGGAAAGAATGGGAGGATATGTTCCTGGGCTGGTGGACTCTGGAATCTAGTTCTGGTGAGTGACACTATGTTTCCCCCACTCCTCACCTGTCCTGTGTCACAGCCCCGAGTCCCAGGGTGTCATCAGTGGTGCAGTTTTCCTCATCATCCTCTTCTGCTTCATCCCTGTTCCCTTCCTAAACTGCTTTGTGGAGGACCAATGTAAGGCCTTCCCCTACCAGGAGGTTAGTGGACCTGGACCAAGGGAGGCTCATCTCATGATTTAAGGGTGGCAGGAGAGAGTTGACAGAATCTAGATTTCTCAGGGGTTGGGTTTTTTTAATTTGTTTTTTGGGTTTTTGGGGGGCGGAGTGGAACATGAGGGAATAAGGTATAGAACTGAACAGCATGGTAGCTGTTGAGAAGAGGGCTGGGCTTGGACTTAAGTCAAACTGTCTGATACTTCGTAACTCTGTGGCTTTCTCTCTGAAGGCCTTAGTCTCCCCATCAGTAACATGGGAACAATAATTGTGGTACTATGTACCTCAAAAGTTGTTTTTGAGGAAAGCATTTTTTGCGAATCTGAAATGCTATAGAAATGTGAATTGTTGAGCGAGATGAGGAATGTGCCCTCGGGCTGGTAGGGAGAACTAGGGTTAGGGGGAAGGACTGAGCCATCTCTCGTTTCTCCCCAGTTTGTGGCCCTGATAGGTGCCTTGCTCGCCATCTGCTGCATGATCTTTCTGGGCTTTGCGGATGACGTGCTGAACCTGCGATGGCGCCACAAGCTGCTGCTGCCCACGACTGCCTCTCTACCTCTCCTCATGGTCTATTTCACCAACTTCGGCAATACGACAATCGTGGTGCCAAAGCCTTTCCGTTCCATGCTTGGCTTGCATCTGGACCTTGGTGAGAAGCACCATTTCTGCCTGTCAGAATCCTTCCCATGTGGCCCTTCTCTCTGTAGCTTGGGAACCCTCTTGCCACATCAATACCCTAGCTATGTACCTCACTCAGCTCAGTTTTGAAGCCTTTGCTTTCACTGATCCCCATATCCCATTGTATTCTTCTTCTGCCCTTCTGTCCTCCCTCTCCACCCCCAGATTCTTTCTGATAAATCTCCACCCAGCTCTGTATTCACTTTAGTGCCCCTGGTAAGCATAATCTCAGCTGATCTTTTCAATCAAGCAAGCAAGTATTTATTAGGTGTCTGTTATATGGGGATACAAATACAAAAAGAGACAGCCCTGCCCTCAAAGAGTTTATATTCTACTGGGGGGATACATGTTCACAGATTTTATAAAAACACGGTATATATACAAAATAAATTCAAAGTGATTTGGTGGGGAGTGAGGAGCCAGAAGAGAGGAACTAAAACTTGGAATCAGAAAAGGCCTCTTGAAGGGGATGATGCTTGAGCTGAGCCAAGTTGAAGGGAGGCAGGAGTTCCCAAAAGTGGAGGTAAAGAGGGAGCTCATTCTGTCTCCCTATATCTAATGACTTCTTCCTCCTCCAGGAATCCTGTATTATGTCTACATGGGACTGCTGGCTGTGTTCTGTACCAATGCTATCAACATCTTAGCAGGGATCAATGGGCTGGAAGCTGGACAGTCTTTAGTCATTTCTGCCTCCATTATCATCTTCAATCTGGTAGAGCTTGAAGGTAGGTTTGGATGTGGAGGGGGAGATAAGGAGACAGTACTGAAGGTAGAGAGGGGTGAGCAAATTATGATTCTGGGGAATTCACAAGGGGAAGAAAAACAAGAACAAAGACAGTTGATAAAATTGGGGGGGATTGTTTTTTGTTTTTAAATAATGTTAGGGAAAACAGAAGGGTAAAAGAGCTATTGGCTTCATCTCAGAAGATCTTCTGTCTGGTTCTGTCGCCAGGTAGCTCTGTGACCTGCGCGGGGAGATTCACTTAAATCCTCTGATCCTTATTCCCATAGACTGTCAGAGGTGGAAAGAACCTTGGAGATAATTTCTGTTGTGGTTTCATTTAGGATTTTTTTTAAACAAATGTTTTATTGATGCTCTTTTCTTTCCTACATCCCTGCCACTTCCCAGTGACTCCTGGAGGTCATCTAGTCCAGTCTTCTCATTTTAAAGATGAGGACAAGGAGTCTCAGAGAAGGGCAGTTGCTTGTCCACGGTCACATGGCTAGTAAGTGGCAAAGCCAAGATAGGAACTGTGTTCTGGCTTGTAGTATAGCAGTCTTTCCACTGTGCCATAGCCACGGACACTGAGAGCATTTTAAGGTTTGTAAAAGCCTTTGCCATGTGGTATTCTTTTGAGTCAATAAAAATTTATTAGAAGTCAATTACTATTTGCTTGGTAGTAGTGATGTGGAGATGAGAAATGAGGAGTCATTATTATGCCATATTGGCCTTTATTAATTAAATGATGTTTACTTCCTATCTTACAAGAAAGAGTTTGTAAACTCTGAAATGCTGTGTAAATGTGAGTTTCCGTCATTCTTGAGACTACTCTTAGTATGGTGGAAGGAGTGCTGGACTTGGTGTCAAGAGACTGGGATTCAGAGCCCAGCTCCGGCTCTCACTAACTGTGTGACCAAGGGCAAGTCACCAGACCTCTCATCCTCTATTTCGTCATCTGTAAAATGGGGATAATGATAAAGTATTTGCCCCACCTACATCACAGGGTTGTTGTGAAGAAAGTGCTCTATAAACCTTAAAGTGCTATAGAAATGTCAATTGTTGTTATGTAGTACCAGTTGCTGTTACGGATAAATAACCATCATAATGTATATACGGTGAAAATAGTTGGTCTAGGAAAGTTTTGTGGAAGAAGTGAAATATCAAAAGCTGTGTGAAAGAGAAGCCACAGTGCAGCATGCATAATGGAGTTGGAGAGGGATGTGGAATAGCTTGGGGCACAGGTTGGGGTCAGGAGCTTGGCATTAAGCTGAAGGAGCAATTGATCACCTGGATGTTTTATCCCTTTTTCCCTTTCTGGAAGGTGATTACCAAGATGACCACGTCTTTTCTCTGTACTTCATGATTCCATTCTTCTTCACCACTTTGGGACTACTGTATCATAACTGGTGAGGGACTATGCAGTGGGTATGTGTGGTCATAGTTGTTGGTGGGAGCCTAGGCCAGGTGCTGAAGGATTTTCGTATCTGTTCAGGGATTTTTTTCTGGGTCCTCAATCAAGTGTTTTTATAGGCCCCAACCCCCATGTGTGGGAACCTTTATGCCAGGGAATGAAGTACTCAGGAATACCTAGGGATGCTGTACCAAGACTGTGGGTCCTATGGAGCTGTCAGGGGCAGTGGAAGATGAGGTGGGGGGAGATTGGTGAGGAGAATGAAGGGGGTGGGGAAGAGTAGGGAATGTTTCAGCCAGGTCAAATTTTGGTGCTGATGGCATCAACTAAGGGGCCCTGTGTATGGGGGTGATGCACGCCTGGTGATAAAGGTTAGTGATGCTCACTGCTCCTGCTTCAGTTCATCTCTTTCCCATAGGTACCCATCCCAGGTGTTTGTGGGCGATACTTTCTGCTACTTTGCAGGCATGACCTTTGCCGTGGTGGGCATCCTGGGGCACTTCAGCAAGACAATGCTCCTCTTCTTCATGCCTCAGGTGTTCAACTTCCTCTACTCCCTTCCACAACTTCTCCATATCATTCCTTGTCCACGCCACCGTGTGCCCAGGTACCTTTTTCTATGTGGGATTATGAGGGAAGGGGAAGAGAGGAGGACCCTGTTGGCATAACATAGGCATCTAGAGGATGGCTTTGAGGAATAGTCCCAACACATGGTCACATTTAATCAGACATGAAGATCTGGTCTCCTGTAATTCTGTGTGATCACATGGATAAAGAGACACTAAGCACATTGCCATGGACTTGGAAGTGATACTGAGTTCTGATTATGAACTCCCCTTCAGCCTTACCCCTACCATGATGCATTGTACTCAGTGGGAAGGTCAGTTTAAAAATAAAAAGGTGTAACTTTGGTTTAGGTGCTGGTGAAATGCTTTCCGAGTTGCAACTTTAATTAGATTAGCCTGAAGAATGATGTTGAGATCTCCAAAAGTATGATGAGAAAGCTTTTGCTGTTCTTTAGCTCATTGTCCTTTCTCTCAGACCTATCTCTCTTGCTGACTTAGCTGCTTCTCCTAATGTTGTGTGCCTGAGAAGCGCATAAATGTTTCCCTTGATGGTGCTACCATTTACTTCATCGCCCACTTCATAAGCTTTAACATTATCTTTGATTTGTCCTTCTCTCTCATTGACAATAAAGTACCAAATCCTAGCCATTCTGCCTCTGCAACATCTCTCATTACATCCTGTGTATCTCCATGGCTATGATATGTTCATCATCATCTGCCCAGGCTTCTGCAGTAGCCTTCGAACAACTTGTCAGACTTCCACTTTCCCCCCACTCCGATCCATCCTTCAGAATGCTGCCAGAATTTCTTTTATGCGCAGATCTGATCATTTTGGTCCTGCTCGGAACCCCTCAGTGGATCACTCTTTGTCCCCTGAGTAAAGATCATACTGCTTTGCCTAGCATTCATGGCCCTCAGTACCTTTTCAGTCTTCTATTACTTCTCTATATCCTGTACTTGAGTGAAACTGGACTGCTTGTTACCTGTACGTATTTACCACTTGGCTACCTTTCCTCAGCATTATTCCTTATGCCTGGAATGCCTTTTTTCCCACCCTACCTCCCCAGTCTTTAAAACCTCTTACCCCTAAAAATCCTCTCTTTTGCTTCCTCCCTCCTTCCTCCCCCTCCCTCCCACCTGTGCCTTATAAACATTTATATGGTTCCTTAACTAGGACTTATCTAGCATCTTACATATTTAATTTATTTTCTCTATTTGTGTATGTCATATTCTTGTACTAGAGTTTAAGCTCCCTAAGGACAAGGATTGTCTCCACTAAGCTTTGTTTATGTTTCTTCCAGCACTTAGCATATTGTTCTGCACACAGTAGGCACTTGTTTGTTGAATTAACTCAAATGTACATATTTTCAGGTCTATAAAGTACTTTCTTAACAGTCCTGTGAGGTAGGATTATTATAATCCTTATTCTGTGGATGAGGAAATTTAAATTCAGAGAGGATAGGTTACCATAGGGTTCCACAACCAGTAAGTGTTTGATGCTGGAATGTGAACCTAGGATTCTTGACTCCCAATCAGTGCCCTTTTTAAAATACTCTGCCGCTTTTTGAGTATCATACCCCATTTCCTCTACAGGCTCAACACCAAAACAGGGAAGCTGGAGATGAGCTATTCCAAGTTCAAGGCCAAGAACCTTTCTCTCTTCGGCACCCTAATTCTGAAGGTAATGGTGACATGCAAGTAGGTGGTCAGGTACTACTGTGGGCCCATGGCATGGCAACTCCAGACCAAGAGCAGACCTGGGGGAAGGTTGGGGCCATTTCTTCATACTGATGTGAAACATGACTGTGATTAACCCCCACCTTCTGCCTCTCTAGGGTGCTGAAGCCCTGCGACTGGTGGCTGTACGTCGAGGTGAAAATGAGGCTGGTGCTTACATTGAGTGCAACAACATGACCCTCATTAACCTGCTCATCAAGATTCTGGGGCCCATCCATGAAAGAAACCTCACTTTGTTGCTTCTGCTCCTTCAGGTGATCCCATGGGCCAAGATGGGCATGGTGGGCCCTTATTCCTCTTCCTTATTTTTCTTCTGTTTCCAAATAGCTTCTCCTCAGCCTGGTTACCTTCCTAAGGTCTCCTTGCCCGCCTCCTTTTCTCATGACTCTCCCTCTGTTTCTTCTTGCAGATTCTGGCTAGTGCTATCACGTTCTCCATTCGATACCAGCTGGTTCGGCTCTTCTATGATATTTGAGATATTTGAGTCCTTGACCGTTGACACTTTACTTGATAACCCCTTGTGCCCCTGTCCCATGTGGAACCCCTGTTGGACTAAGACTGTATTCCCCATAAGCCTATTGGGCTTCTCCCCGTCCTTTGCTGTCCTCAAAATTATCTCCCTGGGAGATATCCTACCCATCCTGCCCCTCAATGATAACTTATTGATTTTATTTGCCCTATGCACTTCCCTAAATTGCCATTTTTCTCCCTTTCCTGAAACCTCCTCTGGGGCAGGAGGTAGTAGCTTCTTGCAAGCTAGGTTGCCGCTAGGGATCAGGCTGAGTCCCTGGAGGTTCCTAATGGTTCCACCCTGAATTGATGTGTTACTGAGAATTAAGCGTTTTGATTAATAAGGAGCAACCTGGGTGGTCATTTGCTCCTTTTGGTGACAATAAATATATTTGGTTCACTTTTTTAACTGTAGGTGTAGCTCTTTTTTTCAGCTGATTTTGGATGTGGTGGGACACTTCCCTGCCTGCTTCCCCCATTAGGCACATATCAAATCCTGGCCCCTCTCTCTGTCTTCTTTCCACCCGATACTGAGCTCCTTCCCTTCCTTGCTGGTGGGGAAAACAGCATACTTAGTTGTGTAACCTATGTGGAAAATTACATTGGAGAACAAGACTCAGGTGGGATAGCTGTTAGACTAGTTTTGCTTGGGCCTAGAGCATAGACCCACGGCCCATGAATGGAAGTTACATAGAAACAGATTTTAGCTTAGTACGAAAAAACTTTAAAAAAAACAAGCACCTTGGGGCACAGGTAGACAGAGCATCAGCTCTGGAGTCAGGAGGACCTGAGTTCAAATCCAGCCTCAGACACGTAACACTCACTAGCTGTGTAACTCTGGGCAAGTCACTTAACCCTAATTGCCCCACCAAAAAAAGAAAAAACAAGCACCTTATCAGAGCTATTCACAAATGGGCTGAGCCACTTCAACAATTAGTCAACTTGCCAATCACTGGAAGTTGTTCAAGAAGAGGACGCTAACTACTTGTCAAGGACTGCCACTGACAAGATGGAGTGAATGAATGAAGCAAGCATTTATTAAGCGCTTATTATGCACAAAGCACTGTGCTAAGTGCTGGAGATGCACACAGAAAAGTCAGACAGTCCCTCCTCCCCAGGAGCTCACATTCAAAGAGGGGAGACACCTCATTTGAGGTTTTAGCTGCAAGTTGGAAAAGTCCCATGGTTCTTAGGGTGCAGCTGCAAAGGAGCTGGCAATGCCTTTTCTTTAATGTTACTTCTACTGATAAAATCATATCAATTTCTGATGTTGAACCATTTGGCAGTGCCAGGGACTTTGGTGGCAAGACCTTTCTTTTCTGGGTCTTCGGTAGCTGTGGCTGCAGCACCTTCAGGAATAATTCCCAGGCTGCATCTCCACAGGGGTTACTTCTCAGGATGGGGGCTGAGAGCACTGGCAGGAAGCTTTGACCCAAGGCTCTTGTGTTCACAGTCCTGAGCTGCCTGCATCAGGGTCTGGGGGAACAGGGGTGATGTTGGTCAAGGTGGTGGTGGTGCTTTGACTTGCCCTGTACGTAATGTCTCCTGGTGTCTTTCTGAGTTATCGAGGCTGGTTTGCCAGGCCTATGTGTAGCGCTTGATGGGGACTGCCAGCCTTTCCCACAAGAGTTGCTTCCCTGGGTGGTTTGGAGGGCTAGGCTAGAAGCAGGATTGGTGGTCTGGGGTTGCCGACACTCCTAGGGCCCCTGTGCCTGTTCGCCTGTTGGTGGCAATTGTTTCTGGTGTTGATGACAAAGGTTGAGAGGGATGATCATCCTTCTAACTGTGAAATCATAAGGAATGGAAGTGAAGGATGAAGGAGAAAGACTGATCTCTGAGGAAAACACAGGACTGAAGGGTGGAAATCTGAAAAGAGGCAAATTTGGGTTTTACATGAGGGGAAATTGCCAAACTATTAGAGCTATTGAAAGGTGGGAGAGACTGCTTTGGTCAGTAGTGGGTTGCCCCTTGTTGGGTGCTAAAATCTTGAGGCTAAGGTTATATTGTGTTGTGGATTGGATCCTATTCAGGCATGGGATGGATGAAGGGAAGGGAACCTTTGGCCTCGAAGCCACATGTGGCCCTCTAGGTCCTCAATCTAAACTTCACAGAACAAATACCCTTAATAAAAGGATTTGTGGCTTTGAGGCTAAAGATTCCCCACTCCTGGTTAGATGAACGGATGGATGGGAGGAAAAAGCATTTCTGTGACCCCATTTGGGGTTTTCTTGGCAAAGATACTGGAGTGGTTTGCCATTTCCTTCTCCAACTCATTTTACAGGTGAGGAAACTGAGGCAAACAGCTGCACCCAACAACAAATGTGCAAAGCAATGTGCTAAATGCTGGGGGTGTAATTAGAAAAGTAAGGGAATCTGTGATCTCCAGAAGCTCACATTCCAAAGTGGGGAACATCCCCAATTGATAAATAGTCGAAGGATATGAACAAGCAATTCTCAGAAGAAAAAACTAAAGCTATCTAGAGTCATGTGGAAAAATGTTCTAAATCACTATTGATTAGAGAAATACAAATCAAAACGACTCTGAGGTACCACATCACACCTATCAGATTGGCTAACATGACAAAACAGGACAATGATAAATGCTGGAGAAGATGTGGGAAAACTGGAACACTGATACATCGTTGGTGGAGTTGTGAACTGATCCAACCATTTTGGAGAGCAATTTGGAACTGTGCCCAAAAGGCTATAAAATTGTGCATACCCTTTGACCCAGTAATACCACTCCTAGGGCAGTGTTCCAAAGACATCATAAAAATGGGAAAAGGACCCACATGTACAAAAATATTCATAGCAGCTCTTTTTGTGGTGGCAAAGAATTGGAAATGGAGAGGATGCCCATCAATTGGGGAATGGCTGAGCAAGTTGTGGTATATGAATGTAATGGAATACTATTGTGCTATAAGAAATGATGAGCAGGCAGACTTTCAAAAAAAACTTGGAAAGACTTACATGAACTGATACAGAATGAAATGAGCATAACCAGGAAAACATTGTACACAGTAACAGCCACATTATGGGATGACTGACTTTGATAGACTTGGCTCTTCACAGCAATGCAGGAATCTAAGACAACCCCAAAAGATTCATGATGGAAATTGCTATCCACACCCAGAGAAAACTATGGAGTCTGAATGCAGATGGAAACATACTATTTGCTCTCCTTTTCCTTTGTTGTTTTGTTTTATTGCTTTATTTTCACGGTTCCTCCCATTAGTTCTAATTGTTCTTTACATCATGACTAATGGGAAAATATGCTTAATATGAACGTATAAGTAGAGCCTATATCAGATTGTACGCTGTCTTGGGGGAGGGGGAGAAAATTTAAAGCTGAAAATCTTACGGAAGTGAATGTTGAAAACTAAAAATAAATTAAATTTTTAAATGGCTTCATAAGTCCCCTCCATCTTGTGGATTGTGAGAGAAGATCTTGATCCTTCAACTGGGGTTGGAGCACAACCAGTTTGGGTGGATTTTCCTCTTCTGGTTGGGACTGAACTGCAAGGACCTCTTCTTGCCTTTTTTCACAGCCTCTCCCCACCTAAACTGGTTGAAGCAGGGTTCAGATTTGAACAAAGGGGCCTGGGCTGAAGAAAAACCAATTCAAAAATTAATTTTTTTAATTCAAAAATTAATTTTTAAAAAGAGTTTTAGTTGAACTTTCTGACATTTGATTTTTACATCACCCTTATTTTTGAAGACATCTCTCTCCTACCTGTCAAACCATCCCTAATAACAAAGAATAAAAGCTGGGGGAAAGCTACAAAACAATTAATTACATCAACCAAGCCTCACTTCAAAGTGCTCACTTAGCACTTAGTAAGCACCTCCTGTGTATTGCTGTGGACCCCTAGGTGGCAGAGTGGATAGAGTGCCAGGCCTTGGAACCAGGAAGACTCCTCCTCCTGAGTTCACATCTGGCCTCAGACACTTACTAGCTGTGTGACCCTGGACTAGTCACTTCAACCCTGTTTGCCTCAATTTTCTCATCTGTAAAATAGGCTGGAGAAGGAAATAGCAAACCACAAACCACTCCAGTATCTTCGCCAAGAAAATCCCAAATGGGGTTCCCAGGACTGAAACGACTAACCAATAACAAAAGCGTGCTAGGCCCCAGCACAAAAGTGCCTTCCCAAAAGAAGCTTACAATCTGTTGAGGGAAAATAGGAACACATGGAAGTGAATCAACTGTGTAAAGTAATCAGGGGAAGCTGCCAGACTCTTAGCAGAAATGCCCTGTGTAGGAGGTAGATGGAGGAAATTGGAATAAGATGGGGAACTCAGCGTCTGGGCGCTGGCCCCTGGCCTCTGCTGCCATTAGACAATCTCCGGTTCTCTAGAGGGGTCTGCCTTCTTTCAGTCCTTTTCAGTCATGTCAGACTCTTCATGACCCCCTTTGGGGTTTTCTTGGCAGAGATATTAGAATGGTTTGCCATTTTCTTTTCCAGCTCATTTTACAGATGAAGAAACTGAGGCAGACAGGGTTAAGTGACTTGCCCAGGGTCACACAGCTAGTAAATGAGGCTAGATTTGAACTCAGGAAGATCAGTCTTCCTCCACTGCGCCACCTAGCTGCCCCCGGCACCCTCTCGCCCCACCCATTTTCCTTTCTTGGCGCCTATGCCATTTGAATCTCCCGCGCTTCTAATTGATTGGCCGTCTGCGGAAAGCGGGAAGCCGCGGGGGGGGGGGGAAGGCGTGGAGTAGACACCTAGTTTGCTACTCAGAATCATCTCCCCCCGGGTGAGAAGAGATTTCAAATCCAGCCATTCAGTAAGCACGTTCACACGCTTGGGAGGCGGAGCCTGGTGACTAACTCTAGCCAATTGGAGGCGGCCGTCAAATGATCCAGCCAATAAATAACTAAAGGACGCTGTGACCGGCTGCCTTAAAGGCGGCAGCTTTGCACGCCGACCGGCATTTAGACTGCGGCGAGAGTTTGGCGAGTGTGTCTGCGCGTGCGCAGCCGTTACTCGCGGTAGTTCTCTCAGAACCAGTCTCGCGCTT